CACAACCTCTCCAGCTACGTTTCTACTCACTTTCAAGTGGCGAAAGTGTTATTTTCTCAAGGTATGTGGGACCTGCCTATCTCGGAAAAGGATCCACCTCGCATGTTATCAAATACTGTACTTTGGAAGAAACTTCCGATCGTAGAAGCAAGTTGCTAAATATAGGGGAGGCGCTCTGATTGTGCTGTTAGCACTTTCCACCCTTTAAAACGTCACGAATGGGGCAAAACAACTTCATTTCCCCTCTGAGGTTGGTGTATCACGCTTACATTGCAGGGGGAGAATGGAGAGGGCAACAAATCGGATTCCCTGTGTAGTGAGGAGTGAAAAAGTGAGAGATCACAACCAGTTCAGTATTGCACCTACCTTGGAACTGTCTACTTTTGCCATCGGGAAGCTGGCAGTTGTTTCATGGTGTCTCATCACCCAACAACTTATCAGACCCTTTTTCTCCAAACTATAACACAGCAAAAGGCTTCTAATCGAAATTGACGCTGTTGACTCTAAAGGCATGTGGCACGATTACTTGATACTCGGCTGGTATAAAATGCTAGCAGGGTGCTATACAGTGGGAAAAATGGCAAAAACGAAGTGAAACGGTCAAAAACCTGCGGAGAAAAGCCCTTCGTTCTTCATGACTCAGGAAGCGATTTCGGACGAGTTTCCTCGTAGGCATCTTGCCAACAATGCGGGTAGGTACGGCTGCACGTATGTACTCATATATCCACCGCGCTCGCTTCATATCAATCCCTTCGCTTCATATTTTACTTCGCAAATGAAGCAATACGAGCATCAGATAGTCCATTTGTGGGCGGGCGAGCGCAAAGGGCTTCTGACTCGGTGTGCTGTAGCTCGGTGCCTTCAAAGGGCACCTGCGGTAAAGGCGCTACGCAACGCCTGCTCAGGGCCACAGGATTCCGCCCTGCCAGGCGCATTAATCCCACGTGTCTCAGGGACAATTGCCTATAAGGTCCTTCAAATGAATACCTCCAACAAGGTTATTAGAGTCAAGATGATCCAGTGATATTTCAGATCGCAGAAGAACCTTCCACGTTTGGCAAGCGGCACCCTGGATTGGTAATGATGACTGAGAATATCGACTGTTCAATTCAGATGAAGTGAGTTCTCAGGACTACGATGGGTTGCATACACACGATCGCGTTTTTGTACCGCTGGCGGCCCTCGTTCCATAGGGTGCCAAATCACCGGTTTGCATAGGCCACCGCGGCACAGAAAATTCACAGATTCTCATGAGGAGGTCTGTAAGAGTTCAGCTGATGGTGAGTCCCCATTCGGTGTACCGCCAAACACCGCTTCCGAACAACGACGAAAATTTAGCCCGAAATTGTGGTCAACGTGTCGTAGAACTTCCAGCACGATAGAATCATGGCGCAGTTCGGGCGACGTGGGGCGGGGGGGGGAGACTTTTTCTGCCTCACCGGTTTTACAAGTTCTCACTCTGGTGAAACCTGTGAACTCTTGTGAAACTGGAGCAAGCTCGGCGAGCCACCATGGTTAAACCTATCAGCTCGAGAAAAGACCCTCTGGATGGGTGGAGACGTTGATGGGAAGTAGCAAGAGTGCAAAATGCTTACCCCCCCCCCTCCGTCGCTGAAGTACCTCTAAATTACTATTGTTTCCGTCCATGTTCGACTTCATTGCAATTTTGGCGTGATGATCATCGATGTTTCGCCTCCTTCAGAACCCGAAAAGGACCGGAAACATTTGAGACCCGCCCGCCAAAACGCCGAAACTTTACTGGACTATGGGAATTGTCTAGGAGATTGTTGAGACGTTCGAGGGGTCAGGTCTCCTATGTTTTGATCCATTTCAGGCTCTGATGTAAGCGAATATGCCTAAGCTTTGGGCTAATGAAAGTATCTTCACTCTTGTCAAGGCTAAAGATACACTATATCGACTATCGTTTTAGGTATGTCATGCTACGAGTAGGCGACGCTAGAATAGCAGTTCGTCAAGGCATGGAATGTGTTTCATTATTAGTGCCATCGTCGGCAATAGGAGAGAATTCAACGCTATCCATTACAAGCTTTCATCGTTCGCGAACCCGTGGCAAGGTTTGTTCAGTACCTTTCACTGAAATCCCGAACACAAGTTTTTTTTGTTCGTAATTGATTCATTTATGTGAATCATTTACAAATAAAAGAGACCAGTTCTGCAATGAGAAAAATGAAGGCTGAGGTGTCGATGGCGGGATGTTTACACTTGCCCTCCACTACTGAGCGGATTCTCTGGTGAGGGTTGCGAAGATTCTTTTCATTACTCAATTAAAAACAGTCCAGAGTATACAGTCGCCATCGGGCAGTTGATTAGGCGGTCAAAGGGTTGAGACGCGGCTGCGGAGCGCCAAGACTGCGGCGATCAGCTGTTCCAGCCTGATTTAACGATTATCTCCCTAATTTTTATTGTATTTTCTATTTTTCTCCAAGGTAAGCTGCTTATCTATGGCTATGGCGAACGATGAGGCTGTGTGGTTTGAAGTGTTCGTTGCAGAGTCACTGCCTCTGGCACCTGTTTCCTCCGTCTTCGGGAATTGCCATGAGGAGGTAGCCTTCCAGAGTCATTCACCCATCTCAACTGTACTTCGCTTCACCTTAGTTTGAGCTCTCTCCTTGCGAACTTTTCGTCTTTGAGTTCTGTTTTGCCGAACAAATGTCACCTGAATTGCCATCAACACGATCCAGGCATCAACCTAGCCATGGTTTCAAACTGTGTGACCAGTGAAGCTGTGTAATGGAAATAAGAGTCTGGTCGAACCCTGACGATAATTGGACATGTCTCAACCAAGCTAGGACGTATACCTTTTCATAGAGGCTAACGTGAAATACTCATTGGAATATGGATCATCTAACTATAAGTTGAACACGTGCTGTAAATAAAGGGAGCAACCAAACTGGCATCTTGCCCTGTAAACCCATTGAGTGTTCCGGCTTTCATTCGTGAACAATGTCTACAGTCGTCATCCGGGCACTTGATTAAGGGGCCAAGGGTCGCGACGCGTTTCTCAAGATTAGTTCCTCCTTATCTTCAAAAGGTGTATTATTATTGAGATTCCTCTGATTTTGCGTCAATTGAACAGTTAAACAGATGATTGAACAAATACCTGAAGAAATTGCAAAACCACTTTATTGCGGACACAAAAAAGTCCACATCCTAACACAGTAGAAAATACACTGAAAATTAGGGAGAAATGGCCAAATTAGGCCTGAAGCAGCTGGTCGCCGCGAGTGTGACGCGCTGAGCCGCGCCGCGACCCTTGACCGCCTAATAGTGACTGGACGGATAACGACTGCAGTTCAGTGCGTTCAGAGCTGGAAGGTGCTAAGAAGCCATGGAAGATCATTTGCTCAGAATTGGTATTCTTCCGTGTGTTCTTCGGGAAAAGTGTAAATAAAAAGACAAGAAGCAACAAACCGTAGAGAAGGGGGAATCGCGCCGATTCCTTCTTCTTGGGGTAGGGAGAAGGGGGGGGGGGGGAGAGTCGTACGGACTTGAGTAAAACCCCAAACGCGTGATGTGCCCTGGTTATAACTTATTGACGTACTTATGGCCTAGGTCCGATGAGGAAGTGATTTTCATTGTACAAATGGTTTTGACAGAGCGTTCTCTCACACTATCAGCTTAAGACGATGTGTAAACTAATTTCAGAATATCGCGCTTATGGCAGCTTCAGGTAACATCTTGCTGGCAAAAAAGACTCGAAAAAGTCGGTTAGGTTGAGAGGAAAGAATTCCTACTCACCTCACTAACACAAAGCCAAGTACCATTAAGAGCGATAGAATGGCCATGATAGACTACTTCCTAATGGCCTATCACGAAAAAGGCAAACGAACTACTGCGAGAGGGCCAGGGTGCGAGGCTTCCTCTATTTATTTATGATTCATTTATTTGATTATTTATTTATTTATTTATTATGCACGCTAAAGTGCGCAAACTATGTAAGCGATATACGTCCGAGTCATAGAATGAACAGCAACACGATTGAAAAAAAACACAAATTCGGTAACCCTAATAAAACCGAAGAGACCTCTCTAAACTGCGAGTTTCAGGGATCTTCAATCCTTAACAAGGTCATTAAGTCAATCTTCTTCAGTTTTCCTCCAAACGTATAGGTGTTAGGCGGCTCTGCAGATCTGATGCAAGCATTTCGAGATATTTCGCTCCACGGAAAAAAAGTAAAATAAAAACCTTGTTTCGGAAGCTTTTGCACAATTCAGGACATTGCAAGGACAACGAAGAGATGCGGTCCATTTGTCGGCTTGAACACCCAGTATTTACTGGGTTTCAGTCATAGCTCTCCTTTCAGTATCTTGAAACAGAACACAACCTCATTGAATGATCGTCTGTAGATCGATGATTTGAGATACTCAGGATTGGGAAATAGAAATACATCAAACTCTCGTAAAAGTTTGCTGCACCTTTTCAATTTTCGCCTGGAGCTTCCAAGTATGAGAGGCTCCATATTTGCGAACATATTCGAAAATGGGGATGACGTATGTATGCTTTATAGAGCTTCAGTACGATCAAAGAATCATTCTGTCGAATATTTCTCAAGATGGCAAAGAGGGTCATGAAAGCTTTACGAACAATAGCATCAATGTGATGCGAGAAATCCAAACTAGAATTTATGAGGATCCCAAGGTCGCGAACTTCCCTCGAAACACTGATTGAGATGCCGTCGACTGGTGTACGGTACAACTATGGCTTTTCCTATATGAAGTACAGAAGTTTTCATAAAATTAACAGGTATACCCCAAGCAATAGCCCACTTCCATCATGTTGCATATGGATTGCTTAAGGCTCGGTGAACGCAGTCGTGATTATAATTATCATAAACACGTAGTTTTAATGTCATCAGTGTATCTTTCAACGTTGACCAAAGGATGAGTATTAGATAGGCTGGTAGGTCATAGGTGTACACCAAAAACAACAAAGCAGTCAAGACCTCTTTGCGGAACTCCACTAGTGCAGAGGAAGCTCTGTGGGAAGCCGCTACTCACTTTGGCACACGTGTGTCTGCCTTTCAGATAGCATGAATCCAGCTAAGGATGGGATCTTCGATTCCCAACTGCCACAATTTGTTTTGAAGCCTTTCAGGCTCTCTTTACCCTTTACTGCCCCAACCATCCAGAATTGAGCCATTTTCTGACCGACTTTTTTCTCCGTGGACAGATTTGGCTCAAATGTTGTCTCCTGGGGTATTTTGACCTCCTGAATACGAATAAACATTCGCTTAGCCCGAAACTTCCTGGCGCCCGCGCCACAGGCGCCGGTGATTTGGGATTTTGGCGCCAGCGCCTGTAGCGCGAGAGCCAGGAGGTTTCAGGCCGAGCAGATGTGATATTCGTTCAGGAGGTCAGACTACCCCTGAGAACAAGTTTTCAGCGAATTTGGTGATTCAAGGTATTTTGGCGCCGGCGCCTGTGGCGCGGGCGCCAGGAGGTTTCGTGCCTAGCGGATGTGATATTCATGTTCAGGAGGTCAAACTACCCCAGGAGACAAATTTTCAGCCAATTCTGCCAAGGCAGAAAAAAGTCGGTCAAAAACTGGCCTGTTTTCGAGACTGGGACAGTAAAGGGTAAATAGTGCCGCTTTTCATGAGTTTCATTTTCGAACGCTTTGGACAAGTCAAAGCAAATCACGTTCACACCCTTCCCCTAGTTAATAGCTAGATTCCAATCGAGCAGACAGTCTTCCATTAGAATAGCTGTAGAAGCATCGCTAATGAAAGGGAATCAGTTTGTGCATCATTAGATGAGATACAATTTTATCACATAAAATCATTTCCAGAGCCAGGCGGTGTAGCAAGCTTATGGGGCGGAACGTCGAGACATGGCTTGGCTGCTTAGGCTCGGTAACCTTAGGAATGGCATTAACAATGGATTTCTTCCAGCTCATCTCATGGCATCAAAAAAACCGAGATGGAGCGTTTTACGATTTAAGTGTTTTGTACACGTCTTCTTTGGTTACAACCTACCCTGAGGCAAAAGACACGCTACTCTCGGAGCTGACGTCAGGTTGTTAGTCACCGTGGAGGAAACACAGGAAAAGCACTCTGCGAAGGCTTCAGCGTATTGGACATCAGTTATAAAATTATTACCTGT